AATATTCTGCAACCTCATGAACATTAGCCACGCATTTTGTAACTCCTATCTGATTTTACAAGCACAAGGATTTATGGAAGGGAAGTTTATGAAGATTTCAGTGCTGCTCATTCTCCCCGTCATGCACTGAGTCTGTGGCACTGCTCCTGAGTCAGGCAGCTGCCTTTGCTCCCCCAGGAGTTTATTAGAAGTCTGTGCCTCTGCAGGCACTTTGTGTCCCAGCCACACAGCCTGGGCAGCACTTGGAATTTGCCTTCCACAAAGTTTTTGATTGGATCTGCACTCTGCACCTGGCATTGGCAGGAAATGGGTCTGGGAAAGGCCAAGTGCTGCATAGAAATACTGCTTTTTCCTAGGATTATTTGAGGACTCAGTGGAAATGTGGAATTTGGCAGTGTGTTGGAAGAGAAAGGCAATAAAATAATTATTTGAGCATCATGATTTAGGAAAGACGGCCAAATTGCTGATTGTTGAAGCACTTATTTCACTTCTATGAATTTCTGTGGCAAGCGAAGGCTGGCTTGAGAGTGAAGTGACTTTAAAGGAAATTGGTGTGTGATTGATTAATGCTGCAGTGGTTGCCCCAGAAAATGCTCTTGCTCCACAGCACAGAGCAGTGCTTTGCAGCTTTCCTGCCTGTTCAGCTCTGCCTTGGGTTTTCTGTGTTTGTGTTTGTGGTTCCCTGTGCTGTGCTCGCAGGGGCTGTGCCAGGCTGGCACTGCCAGCCCCCTGCCTTGGCTACACAGGGCTGCATTTACTCCCTCTGCTCTACACTGCAGATTGGCTGAAAGTTGGCTTATATAAAAGTAATAACTGAGGGCTTAAGAGAAAGTAAAATTATGGAGAACACCATATTCAGAGATAACCTTTTCTTGATGTTACTGAGAAAAGGGATGAAAAGAATTATCTTATGAACTACTCCAGAGATAAGGTGGCAACTTGAGAAGAGTGCAGCAAGGAAAGGAGGAATAATTAATTTTAAGCTTGGTTTGTATCTCTAAGACAAACCACTTAGCATCCCAGATAGCCAGCTTTTTCAGTGCATGCCATCATTCACTTTCTGGAGTAAATGTAAAAAATTGCAGTAGAGCTTTCAAAACACTCTAATAAATTCATTTTCTGAGAAGTAGTTATGTAATTTGAATAAATAACGTGCTTTGTCTTTTTTTGTTGTTGTTTAAATGGAAAAGCTTTAAAGAGCAAAAATGAGGAGAATAAAAGTTATTTGCCATTCAGAGAAGCTAATGCAATTTCTTGGGCTGATGATTTGTATTGAATTGTTGATATGTTCATTTCTTCTTCATTAACAGATTATCTTTTATTCTTTAAGAGCAATACATACAGCCTAATGGATTTTCAGTTTCTGACATTCTTTATTTTCTGGTTTTTATTCAATTAGTATGTGGTGTTTTCACGTATGTTGTTTGACTAAAAGCAGGTGAGGCAGACAAACAAACAAATCCTGAAATCGTTCTAGGCTCAATCCTTGATCTACCTGTACTTTCTGTTCCTTTCCACTCCTGAAGGGGTTTGAGCCCTGTGCTGCTGTTTTGTGTCACCTCTTGGCTTCCGTGCAGCAGTCACAGTCTCTGCACTGCAGGATTTTTCCTGCCCCTGAGCAGCCAGCTTGTTCATGGTGCTGCATTTGCTCAGCCTGTTCTGGGTGCTGCATTTGCTGTGCCTGTTCATGGTGCTGCATTTGCTGTGCCTGTTCTGGGTGCTGCATTTGCTGTGCCTGTTCATGGTGCTGCATTTGCTGTGCCTGTTCTGGGTGCTGCATTTGCTGTGCCTGTTCATGGTGCTGCATTTGCTGTGCCTGTTCTGGGTGCTGCATTTGCTGTGCCTGTTCATGGTGCTGCATTTGCTGTGCCTGTTCATGGTGCTGCATTTGCTGTGCCTGTTCTGGGTGCTGCATTTGCTCAGCTTGTTCTGGGTGCTGCATTTGCTGTGCCTGTTCTGGGTGCTGCATTTGCTCAGCTTGTTCTGGGTGCTGCATTTGCTGTGCCTGTTCTGGGTGCTGCATTTGCTGTGCCTGTTCATGGTGCTGCATTTGCTGTGCCTGTTCATGGTGCTGCATTTGCTGTGCCTGTTCATGGTGCTGCATTTGCTGTGCCTGTTCTGGGTGCTGCATTTGCTGTGCCTGTTCTGGGTGCTGCATTTGCTGTGCCTGTTCATGGTGCTGCATTTGCTGTGCCTGTTCATGGTGCTGCATTTGCTGTGCCTGTCCTGGGTGCTGCATTTGCTGTGCCTGTTCTGGGTGCTGCATTTGCTCAGCCTGTTCTGGGTGCTGCATTTGCTGTGCCTCCTGCACTGGCAGTGCTGTGCTGCCCCAGCTCTCAGGGCATTCCTGTGCCCGCAGTAACAAAGCCTGGCTGAGCTGGGCAGGGGTCTCAGGGGAGGGCAAGGGAGGCTTTAGCCCCTGCAGCTTGTTTGGATGAACTGAGGAAGGTGAGGGAATTGCAGCCCAGCCAAACATGAGAAGCATGATGGCATTGCTGGGATGGGACCTCCACTGAACAGCAGCCCAAGTGCACTTGTTGGAAGAAGGTTTTAAAAAGCTCAGCTTGTCTAGGTGTCTGTCTGGAAAAAACGAGTGCAGGGAGAGCAGGAGTGTTTGGGAGCCTCAGTGCTGGGTGGCAGAGCTGTGCCAGTCTTTGCCACAGTTTAATTTCCTGATGGATCTCTCCAGTGTTGTTCCCCTGGGCCAGGGCTCCTTTTCAGTCTGCGTGCTGTGCTGGGCCTGTGACACTGAGCTGTGTGCAGCACCAGGGAGCTGGTGGGACAGCTGCTGGCTCCTTTCCCTGTCCCCTTTGGCTGGGGGCTCAGGCAGCCCTGCTGCTCACACTGCTGTGTGTGTTGGTGCTGTCTGGGCGTCCCTCTGGGCTGGGGCTCAGCTCAGCACCGACTCCTGAGAGCTCTGGTGTGTGCATGTGCTAGAATGAGGATTGGCAGAGTCTTATCTGCTTTCATTTCATTCTGTAACCAGCAATGTGCCTGCTCAGTGGGTTTCCTAACATCTAAAATGTGGTTTATACTGATTTTATGGAAACTGCTGCTTTGATGGATACAACTGTATGTCCTTTTAAACTTTTTATTTTTCTTTAGTGTTGGAGAGTTATGAATGCTTCTCAGCTTAGTCTCTGAATTTTTTTCTTCCGTCAGAGCCAACTCTAACTTGATGGAACAGGTGGTTGCTTAAACAGCAAATTGTTTAACATAAAGCCCTGGCCAGGACATAGCTTCTTTTAATTAAACAACCCACAGTGCCCCTGCCAGCTATCTTTTCCCTTGCTCAGCACTGCAGCACTGCTTTGGACAGAATGCGCAACAGTAAAATCTCCAGTGTGAGCCCTGTTTCACCCGGATCACCCAAACTTTTCTTGTGTGTGTTGTGATGTTAAGGTGCCCTAAGTCTGGATGGGACCTGCTTTTCCTGGTTTTCCTACATGTCTTTCCATGATACCAATCTCCTCTTGTTTCAGGGGCAAAACCCCAAATTAAACATGTGGTTGCACCTTTCCATTGCAAAACACTCTCACTCAGGGTGTTCAAAGGCAGGGCACGAAGGATTGCTTGGCTTGGGTGTCACTGAAACACCAAGTGAAGAGGCCCTGAGAGGGGCACAGAGGGAGGCTCTTGGTGCTGCCCCCCCTCATGTCCTGGCTCCTCAAAGGCTGCCAGGGAAGGGAAATGCCCAGCTGCAGGGGCAAGAGGCCCAGTGTGCACATAAACTCCATTTTTCCCCTCAGTAATTCAGGATGTGTTCAGAAGCTCTGGGATACTTCCTCTTGGCAAGTTCTTGTCAAACCAGCCAGCCCAGAGCTCATTTGTAGGAGGTTTTTAGCCTGTAAGCCATCACTGAGCTCCTGGATGATGGAGTCAGGATTAGTTTCTCCTCCATCACCTATCAGACAGTGTGACAGCCCTGTTAACCATGAAGATGTCGTAACTCTGGGGTGTTACAGGCTCTGCAAACCAGCTGGTTTGTAGGTTATGTTAAAATCTCTGCTTTTGACTCTTTCACATTTGCAGAAGTGTTTGCTGCAAGTCTAAGGTAGATGTGCCAAGAGGCACAACTGGCAGAATGAGGTCCTAGTTTTCAGCTTTGAGAAATGTAATATAATAATTCCAAGTATTTATGGTGACCTACTTACAAAAAATGCCATGCTACCATTACCATGCTGTTTATACAGATGTGACAAATATAAAAGAAGTCTGATACATTTATACTATAAAATACCATCTCTGTTTTTCTGAACTGTAAAGTACTTTTCTCATGTTCTGGATAATAGGGTATGCAAAGAGATTTTTTCCCAGATGTCAGAAAAGGGATCCCAAAGTGCTTTGTTCACAGCAAATCTAATGTTGATTGCCACCAAAGGGGGAATTGGGTCCTCCATTAGAGTTCAGCCTTTGTAGCCTCAACTAAGGAGCTGGCAGCTTGCTGACAGATAAATCTGGACTGAATAACAGAAATTCCATTTAATTTACATTTTTTTAAAAGTGAAAATCTTTTTGCAGAAAGATTTTAGCATAACGCTTTTCCTGCTACATTTTTTTTGGTTTTTTGGCTGAAGCTTAAACACTTGCTTGTGTTTTCTGTACACACAAGTAGACTTTGGACTGAAAAGAATGTTTAGACTAGAGAATTATATACATATTCCTAATGTTATTGGCTGCTTATTGCCAAATTATCTTGCTGTAAGTACAGGAATGGGGATCTTTAAACTAGTTACTGTAAAACATTCCTTTATTCTTTTGATTGCAGTTTCATAGGTATTCCCCATTTTTGTGGCACCTACTGAAATGTGATGCATTGTTGTATCTCTGTTCAAATCCATGGTAAGAATTGAAGGTTGAGGTCTCATCTCAGTATTGGATCTGATCTGTTACAGGCCTTTAAAGCATTATGGACACTTTGATCAAAGAATATTTTTAACTGACTCCTGAATTAACAGTGGGAGACTGACAGATACATTCACTCTCATTGACAAGGATAGTGTTGGTTTCAAACTTGTCTAGGTGAAAGGTCCTTACGCTTTTTCTGACTTTCAGGGAAATCCTTTGTGTTTCTGGACCTGTGTCTCAGTTCTTTTGGGGTCTGCTGTTTCTCCAGGTGGGGAAGGAAACAGAGATCTCTTAATGCTGCCCTGAGGAAGTACTGTGCTGTCACACTCTTCCATGGCAGTTATTTAAGTCTCTCCATTGTGCATATCTGTATTTTAATTTTTCACTTCAATACACATACACAATTTGACAGGCTTCTAGTTGCTTTGGGAACTTTGATTTCCAATGTTCTTACTTATTTTTAAAATCAAAGTGTTGCGTTAATGCCTATTTCTTCTGATAAACTTTCAGAAGATGTATTTCATTCTCAGGACTGGTTAAAGCAATTTCACAGCAGCTGTAGACAATTGCATGGTAGGTAAATTAGCTTTTATTATAATCACAGTGGCTTTTCTTGTCTATTTGATTTTTGCATGTTCTTGTGTGACTTCTCAAGCTTCACTGTATCATAATGAGACAGAGAGGGTTTGCAAGGTGCCTGTGTGAATGTTTGCTGTGTGGTGCCTCTGTGTGCTGAGCTGCACACAGAGCACAGGCTGTGCAGGGGCTGCAGAGCAGGGCCAGGAGGTGTTGGGAGAGCTGTGGGATGTTCCTGAGCTGGGAGCTCTGCCAGGACAAGTGCCAGGACACCAGAATGTCCTTGTGGCACTTGTGGTACACAGGGGCAGCATCATGGTTTTCTTCCTGGGAGCCAGAGAAGCTGCAAACACTATTTCCTGAAGGACAGCACTGGGAGAGGTCAGAATCTAGAAATGACAACTTACAAGAATGGAGTCTTCAGTCAAGAGAGCATGAGGTAACATGTGATAAACCCCTTCAGATATTATACAGCTCTGCTGCAAAGAAGGGAAGATCTGTTCTCCATCATAGTGGTGGGCAAAACAAGAAGCAGGTCTCAAATAGGATTAAATTGGATTAAACTTCTCCTGTTAGGAGCAATTAAGTACTGTAATAGCTGCCAGAGGAAACAGAGAAGTGTACTTCACAGGAAGCAAGCCAGAAACAGATGAGCCAGGCTCCTGTCAGGAATGCATTGTGGCCATTGCTGCTGGGGCAAGTGATGGAAAAGGTGATCTCCCCAACTCCTCTCAGCCCCCTCTAAAATACCACTTTGAATTGGAACCAAGCTAATTCTCTTATGTGTTTCTCAAGTCTGATTTGGATTAAACATTTTCTCAGTAGGTTTCTGGGCAGAAGGCTTTTTGTTGTTGGAATTTAGCATTGGCATTCCATGCCCTCTGCTCCCCAACCCTCCAAAAAAGAAAAAAACCCCACTTTTTAGTCTTGAAAAGTTCCTAGTTAGTAAGAGATATTGATTGTTCCCAGAATTAAGGAGGTGTAGATCAAAGCAATACACTTTTGAGTGAGGATAGTACTTGTAAGAGAAATAGAGCAACAAGTAGGTTAAAAGAGAATTTGGAGATAGCTGTGTTTTGTGTGGGATCAGAGACATTCTTGCCAAAGTCCCATCTGTTCAGTCTTTCTTCAGCTCTGTTTTCTTCTCACCTCTCTGTTGTGCTTGCACTCCAGAAGGAGGCATTGCTGTCTGACTGAAGTGCTGAAGTCCTGCTGGCTGTCTCTCCAAATGCAGGGATCACAAAGAGCATCTGAGTTTTCACTTTCTGAGAGGTTTCACTGGTGGTAAAATCACCAGGAATAATCTGAGCCAGGAAAGCCTCAGAGACTGTCTTCAGCAAATGGGGATCAGGTAAAGAGCAATCTCTGTTCTGGGCAGAGATAAGAACCCCACGGCCCAGACTGGGAAACTGTGTGTTCAGGACTCTTGGCAAAATCTCTCCCTTAGTGTGTTTTAATCACACCTGTGATGTTCCTCCTTGAGTTAAACTGTGAAAAATTAGAGTTCCACCTCAGCAGAACTCAGGGGAGAAGATGTGCCTGAAAACTGAGGGCTGAATCCTCTGTTGCCAGCATGTCGCTTGCAGTGCATGGCACAGCTGTGTCAGAAGGAAAGCCTGGCTAGCCTGGAGCCTGGAATGTCTGCAGAGGCTGAGGGACTGAGAGGTGGCACATGGAGCAAGCTTCTAACACTGGGAATTCTGCATTTGCACTGACCCAGCACCCTTGTGCATGGTCCTGAGGAATATCTCTGTGTGTTGGTTGTTGGTGGCTCACTGGAGCCTCTTGAGGGAGGCACTCAAGTGGAAGGAGTTATTTCTCTTTGATCTTGAACTGGTTTGGATGAGTAATATTTTGCTCAGAATACATGTCTGCCATTTCTGTGTGCTCCCTGTAGAAGTTTTAATAGAGTTTCTCTCTTCCCTTATCCTGGAGAAAGAGGATGAAAGTGATAGCAGTAATTGGGAGAGAGTCACGTAGGATGGACAGCACAGGGGCTTTCATGTTTAAATTACAAAAGATTTGGGCTAGATGGAATCTTTTCCTCCTCATCAAGCCACTTAGAATGCTATATATCAGGTTTATTTCTGGGAGAGTGGGTTAATGGATTTAATTATTCTCCTACTTTCAGTATCATAAATCAAAACTGGTCTAAGTGGGCTTATGCCAATAGCACAGTAAATGTAAAAGGAAATCTGGGGGTTAATCTGTTGATATATTTCACTGGGGCTTAATAAATCCACCACAATTGCCAAGATAACTTTTGGGTAATTTGCAAAACTAAATGTGCACCTCTAGGGCATTGAGTTGTTCCTTGGAAGTGGGCATCTCCTGGCTGGTGCATCTTTCAGAAACCTCAGCTCCTGCACTGTGCTCACTGTGCCTGCTCCTGTTTTCTTCTGCAAGTGGCACTGGACTCAGTGTGCTGCACTGTGGGGCAGAATGAGTGTGGAAGCAGTGTAGAGCTGGCACAGGCTACTTGCTTAAGGACAAATTCAAAAAAGATTAAAAAGTTCTCACTGTCAGATTTATTTGTAAAGAAAATTATTCAGTTGCTGGGGGATATCTGTAATTGCATATGAAGCAGTGGGGAGTGTCTGTAATTGCTGTCTGTTCTATGTACTTTCTCCTGAGAGCTCAGGTCCATACAATTGTGAAAATTCAGCTTGAAATCCAGGAGCTGTTAATTGGCCTCAAGATTTATCTTCATCTCTCTGTAACAGTTTTGCCCAGGCTTTTAGAGAGCCAAGTTATTGGCAAAGTCAGCGGAGTTTTATTGGGAAAGATTTATTGGTTTTTTGCAATCCAGCTAATGAAATGAAGCAGATTCCCAGTTTTGGCCTCAGCAGTGTGACTGAATGGCAGAGCACGGTGTGCAAGGGGATCAGTGTGGAGCTGCAGCTCAGCTACCTTGAGTTCCCTTCCCAAGCACAGCCTGGGGGGAGTTCCCATCTCTGCCTCTCTTATCAGCCCCACTCTTAGCTGGAACTGTAGTAATCTGAGAGCAGTCCTGGGGGATACCACAACAGGGGCTTGGAAGCAGCTCTGGGGCTCAGATTGCTGGGGCAGTTTCATTTGCTTTAATCCTGACAGTACCAACTTGTGGGAGCAGTTTGTGTAGGGCAGGTGAGGATTTCTGTCTTCTGGATGTGCCACAGGGATTGGAACAGTCCCTGGCATGGAAGGTTACAACAAGGCATTTTATTGCTGAAGGAGGTGATTTTCCTACAACATTTCAGGGAGAACTAAACTGATCGTTGCACAAAACTTGGGAGGTATGTTTTCAGTTTTTCATCTATGAAAAGAATGGAGTTATTTTAAATGTTGAAATCATCTTTACTGGAGCAAAGACTACCAGAAAGCTTTGTGGATAAATACTTTGTTAACTCCAGTCTATAACTTTCCCAGGGAAGCTGATCATACCTGACAAGGGAAATAGGATTCCACAGCAGGTTATATGAAATTATGAGATGCTGCAAATGGAAATATACTTTCTTAGGCAGAGGAGAGAGAACAACTTCTCCGTAATTGAGTTGCAGATAAAATTGAATTTAAAGGGTCCAGCAAGCTCGTTTGAAGTTCAAAGAAGCTGGTGCATAAATTTGGCCTGCCTGGAGTTACTGCATCTTTACACATACAGCTTGATCAAAAGAAGAGCAGAAATGGAGTAGTTCCAGAAATCCAGATTGATTAAGTCAATCTTTCTTACCCAGTGATGGAATTCAGAAAAATATCATTTGGTCTTCTCTAAAGTATTATCCTGCTGGATCAAAGGATTTTTCTTCCAGCCTTTCTATACTAATGGTACAGTGAAAAAAAATGAACTTGTACAGCAAAAAGATTATGCTCTTTATCATCTATTCAAGTTAGCAGTTCATGGAGGCTGCTGTCCTGCAGAGTGAGCTACAGAAATGCTAAGTCAGTAAAAACATTACTTAATAACTTACATTTACCTTTGTGACTGACTTGGGGAATGAAATAGTGACATGTAGTGTGATCTGTAAAAGTCTCCCTCTTTCATTTTATGATTTATGACTTTTTCCTGTGGAATGGAGCACTGTTATTCGTGGAGCCTCTGGAGGATGCTGCCAGCAGGGCTGTGCAGCAGGAGGAGCCCAGGAGCAGCACAGGCTTTGTGGGCTGAGATCTGAGCACCGGGAGTGCACAGAGTGCCAGTTCTGGGGACGTACAGTACAGCTGGCAGGAATGGATGCTTTTAATGAGCTACCCTGAAAAATCTGCATGGAGGCAAATGCCCTGGTACCACTGCAGAATGTATTGTTTCTGGAGGCCTTAATTCAAGGAATCAAGGCTTGAAAGTATAATTTAGGCCCCAGAGTGGGACAGGGCTGGATGAAGATTGATGAGGACAGACAAAATCTTTGAGACTGTGGCCTTTAGCATAGCAAATTCTGTTCTGTGATGCTGATAATTTCACAGTCTTTTAAAATCTAACAGCAGCTGATTGAAGGGAAGTAAGTACAAATGTTTTCCATGTATCTATTTCCATCTATGCCTTATATACTGGAAGACATTAGAAAATGTCCTATTTAATGAATATTGATCTGCAGCAGGGGGGAGCTGATTGCAGTGCCCTGTTCCACA